GTGTGTGTGTGTGTGTGTGTGTGTGTGTGTGTGTGTGTGTGTGTGTGCGTAGATTCCCTTTAATCACATATAAAGCTGAGTTTAATTAACCAAATCTTAAAGAATTATATATGAAATAGGAGCAAAAAAAACTGAAAAAATATAATAGAATTATAAATAGCTCGATATCTCAAAAGCGGAAATTAAAGCTACTACAGATATTTCTCAAAAAATTCAAAATTTTATTTAAAAAAATGAATTCCTTTACCGATTCTCGCTCAATTAAATACCAACTTTTCTTTAATGATAGGGGAGACCGGGGCAAACTCGACACAATTTTTTCAATGGCAATTTTCAACAATTAATTAAAATTTTCAAACAAATTCAATGGTACACATTTAAAGTGTTTTTTCAGGTACAAAATTGCTTAAAGAAATTTTGCTGTATGTCGCTTAGTTATGCTCCCAGGAAAGGAAAAGTGATGCGAAGACAAATTTTCAAATTGAAAAATCCCGGGCCAAACACAACACTGCCTGATCGACACAATTTGATCTAAAACTCATTTTTTTTTGTCTGAAACTGAAAATACATTGTTTATCGTGTATTTGAAAAGTACAAAAATTCGGAATTAAGTAAAACAATTATTGGAAATAATGAAAACAAAACTTGTTGAACTTTCAATTATTTTCATCTAAACTCATGTTTGAGAAACTAATTTATGCAAGTAAATTCGCGATCGAACGTGCACACACATTTGTCATGAGGCATATGGCTGTATAACAAGCATCGTTTGTTATTAGGAACTGATGAAATAATAACGTGGTGTCGACTTTGCCCCAAACCTCATTTTTCACTTTTTTTTACTCCAAAAACATAAAAATTTTGAAAATATGCAAAAACTATTATCGGATTCGTATAGAGCATCAAATTTCCCATCAAAATCACTTACATATAGGTTCGCAAGAGTAAAGCTCAATGAAAGAAATTTTCGAGAGATCAGAAAAATTACTTTTCACCATTAAAAACTATCACATGCATACAGATTTTCAGTAATGTTATTTATTATAAAATACGTTTACGAATAAACGATATTATAAATATTTACATGTTTAATTTGGTTCAATAAAAAAAATTTCTAATGCGGAGTGGGGGTATGTCCATCAACATAAAAATTTCTAGTCGCCTTAGGTAATTCTAGCTCTATGCCATCTAATTCCTTCTTCAAAATTATTTGACAACCTAGAAAGAAAACATAAACAAGATTTATTCGTATTTGTGGAGTAATATATATATGTTGAAGTTTTCTTATTCCTTACAATTATGTTGGGCTATAATGTCACAAACAAAAAATCGTTTTTTATATGTGCATATATGTATAAAATAAATTGTTTAACTAAGTTGCTTGTTTTCATATTATTGTTAGTTCAAAAGCAGAAGTTTTTGTCCGTTCAGAGTAACATATAAACGGTATTTCCAAGCCAAATGGCAGTTAGTGCGTAACAAAAATGTTTTAAAAGACTGCGTTTAGTAGTAATCAATGTTGATTGTTACCTTTAGTAATGAATAAATTTTATAATACTATGTTTTCATTTTCATTAAAAGAGGAAGTGCGAACAAGATAATACAAAGATAACTACAAAGATAATAATCAGTAATGGTTTAAAAACATTTAGTGAGAGATCCATAACACACCTATTTATTTAACTGATTGCAAATAATGTAAAAAATAAAAAATCTAGACTAAAAATAATGAATTATTTTTAATCTAGTTACGATGTCTTATTTTAGTACGTCCAAAGTATATAAATAATACAATTATAGACTACGTTTACACGGCCCGATTTACGCCGAAGTTATAACATCAATGTTATAACTTTGGCGTAAATCGGGCCGTGTAAACATAGTCATAAAGAATCCAGACACACTGACAAAATTTATAAGAATGTCACACATAGTGTCGTTTTCAAGGTCAATATTAACTCGGCATTATTAAGGTAAGACAATTTCAGCTATAAACATTGTTATTTTTACATGCCTTATCTGTTATTCTAAAAACAAATTGTTATTGTGAAAAAAGTTTTATAATAAATTTGAATCAATTTACTAGGAACAATTTGAATATAAAAACAAAACTTTTAGTTTGAAAATTATTCTAAAAATCTTACATTATTATAATTTAACCCTCTACCTGTATACATGGGTCTATGACGTCCGTGCCAAAACAATATCTGCTTGTAACTTGAGAACCGACAAGCCTGCTTGTCTAACTCCCCCCTTTAAAAAAAGTAGGTGGGGGAAAGAAATCCAAAGATCCAAAGCCGCTTCGAAAGATAAACATGTCGCTGAATGCCAAGCAAGTCAAATTTCGCACAGACGTCTCAGACCCAGGTATACACGCGTACATAGTCTTTATCTGTAAGTAAAAATGTTGCAGTTATTCATGATAAATGTTGTTTTTGGTCAAAACAATGTCCGTTTAGAATATTTTGACAAATAGTTGCTTCTAGTTTAATTATTCTCAAAAAATTGAATTTTGGACGGTGGCCAAAAGCTTGGCGGACCAATTTTTTTCAACATATTCTACATATTATTATATGACATAAAGTAATAAATTATTAAAAAATGTCATAAATGCTATATTATATATAATTTTTCATTTTATATATTCATATTATATATAATTATTATATTTAATTTTTCAGTTATCAACGATTTTCCCTACCTAAAAAGTAACGTTTTGACCATCCTGAATAATTCAACTTTTTTGAAAATATCAATCTGCACTATTTTTTTCTTGAACACTTACCTCTGAAGTAAAAAACCTTAAAAGGATTTTTTTATACTACGTAGAAAAAAATTACAAATTTTTAAAGAAATCAATCTCTTTCCTTTACTCTTATTCAAAGTTCATTAAGGTATTCCTTTCACGGAGGAGCGTATTTGGTAGGCGCTTTAGCAGGGCCTCAGCAAACTCTCAGCAATGTTGCATTAAACTTATATAAAATCAAATTATAATTAATTATCATGTTTAATTATAAGAAAAAAGTAAAAATATTATGTGTATTTAGAAATTTTTCATTTTTCGGTAAATTTTACTGTCAGAACAATATGGCAACGCTGCGCTTTTCAGGGCGCCGATTGTAAAATGTGAAGTTGATAACAAAAGTGTCAATGTAAATGTCAATTTCATTAATCAAAGAATATTGTGACATTTTCTTTTTATCAAAGAGAGATTTTATAATAATAATGAGTGATAAGAAACATAAAGTGAGGAGTAATGTGGGCAAAAATAAGGGACAATTTGTGAAAATAAAAGTTGATAATAAACCGTACGTTATGAATGAAGTGTGACATGAGCGCACAGCTTGCAGCGCCAGCGTTGCCAAATAATTCCTTGAAAGTCGCCATCAAAAATATTCATCTATAAACCATATTTCAAGTCAACTTTTAACATAAATATTTTGTTTAAATATTCGGCGACTCTGTATTTTTATCGGCACTATCGAAAGTATAGAGTTTAGCGAATATGTAGCGCAGTTAATATTTAATATCTTAAATCTTAAGATAAACAAATTATTACATTAAAATGTAGAAAATAGACTTTTTCGATAACGTCACATATAAAATATCGAATTTTCAAAATCATAATTCTTCTTTATATGTTCGGTAATGTGGTTTAATTTTTTTCTGGCGTAAAGATATGCATTTTAACTTTCTCGTACCAAAAAATCAGTTAATTCTTAAGACTTTGGTGTCATGAAAGGAATACCTTAAAAACAAAATTTTAAATAAACGATATTTATCAAAATGACTATCGAATCGTCAACTACAGTGTATAAATGTTTTGTGAAATTTTTCAGATTTTTTAAAATACTTTAAGGTAGGGAAAATAACGTCAGACGCGACAGATTCACAAATGCACTATAAAGATAAAAAAAACGTATACAGGTGGAGGGTTGTTCTTAAATTAGCTAAGATTTAATCAAAAACATTGCCTATTTTTATAAGAAATTTTGGGCTATCCGAACCTAGTCATCAATCATATATAAATTGTGTAAGTAATAATGGTAGTATTAAAGAAAAAATAGTTTTAGATCCTCAAACCCCCGCCGGAAGCAATTTTGACCTCCTAATGATGTCATTTTATTCGTTCAATGGCTCATCATCAGAACTGCCCAAGATGACAAATATGTCATTGCTATGCTCAGAAGGTACCTGTATATTAAAAAAAATAATAAACTAGTACATCTACCGCTTCATGCTCCCTCCGCCCAGGACAGATTTTATTGGTATCGTTGTATGGACATCACTGACTATGTCACTGATTCCAATTCTTTTTGCCTGCGTAACTTAACCAAATATAAAACCAAGAACTCAGCTAAAAACTGTGTCAAAAAATTACCGAAAAATCAATATTTATTTGTTATCACTGTTATTACAAGAAGGTAGCATAGACACAAAAAGAAATCTTTAGACAGGAATAAAAACAAAAACTAGAATTCTGGGAGTCATGTTCAACTATAAAATAAAAAATCAGTTAAATGCAAGTGTGAAAACATCGTGTATTCATTTCGGAATCAGTGACACAGTCAGTGACGTTCATACAACGATACCAATAAAATCTGTCCTGGGCGGAGGGAGCATGAAGCGGCGGATGGGCGAAACTTCCGGAAACGTCCGTGCTCCGATTTAGATGAAACTTTGTGAATAGGTTCCTTTTAGATAAAAAGAACATATACCAAAAAAATTTTTTGCGACTCCAAAGTTTAGCAACTTTTTTAACATTTTTAACTTGCTGCCTCCGCGCATACATTTTCCACGCGAAACAAACCAAAACAGCTCTCAAGTAATGTAAACAACCATAAAGTCATACCCGTCAAAGTCATAACATAAACATCATTGGCGAAACTTCAGAAAATCAGAAACGTTGTAAACTACGATGCGTAGTTTTCGAGATATCAATTTATATAATCTATCACATAGTATAATATACACAGAATTAGCAGTGAGAGAGAAAGAAAGAGAAACAGTACACACGTAGGCGGGGGAGGGGCGGTAGCCCCTACCCCGCAAGCAGGGGGGAGGGGGTAAATCTCGGTTCGCGTGAAAAGTTAAAAATCCGTTTTTTCTTCTTTCGTCGCTTTGTATGAAAAGTTGCATTGTGTAAAAATATTTAATATCTGTAACAGAAATAATTTGTTATAGCAAAGAATAGTTAGGATATTGAAAAGTGGCACCTCGTGACACCTCGTTTTAAGTGGAAAGTGTATGCGTGGAGGCAGTAGGTTTCCGCCCCCCTGGGGGGTTCCACTATTGTTAAACTAGACACATAGTGTACCTTCAAATTACATGGGTGGGCTTTCCACGCGTGGAAAGTTGTAAACCCATGTGGCACTTCGTTTCACGTGGAAAATGTATGTGCGGAGGCAGCAAGTTAAAAATGTTAAAAAAATTGCTAAACTTTGGAGTCGCAAAAAATCCTTTTGGTATATGTCTTTTTTATCTAAAAGGAACCTATTCACAAAGTTTCATCTAAATCGGAGTACGCACGTTTTCGGAAGAACAGCCGGTGGATGTACCAGTTTATTATTTTTTTTAATATACAGGTACCTTCTGAGCATAGCAATGACATATTTATCATCTGGACAGTTCTGATGATGAGCCATCGAACGAATGAAGACATCATTAGAAGGTCAGAACTGTTTCCGGCGGGGATTTGAGGATCTAAAACTATTTTTTCTTTAATACTACCATTATTACCTACAAAATTTATATATGATTGATGACTAGGCCCGGATAGCCAAAATAAGCAAAGATTTTTTCGCTCTTAGTAATCATATTATACATTTTTATTTTAGTAATGCCATTGTTTTTTTTTAATAATAAAGATGGATATACCTAGCCTAGAATTTTCCTTCAAAAAAGGTGCTAAATCCAAAAGATCTTCTTCCGTTTCAGTAGGAGCTGGAAGCTTGTCCATGTAATCATGGTGTACATATACATGACAAGTTGTACATGCTAGACTAGCTTCGCACGCTCCTTCAATGTCGATTTCATATCTATGAGCTAGATAAAGTATGTTATCTCCTACTTTTCCTTTTACTTTAACTTTCTTGCCTGTTTTGTCAGTAAAAGTGACATTAACTCTGGAAAGATAACCAGTAAGGTAATTTGCATTGATGGACTTAGAATTATAAACCTAACATAATTACCCTAACATAATAATATAATATATTATAATAATATAATATATTATGTTATTGATGGTATGTAACAGAATTGATAACAAGAAAATTCGTCGAATTTAACATTATAAAATTCTCACAAGCAAAAGTAAGAGATTATTATATTTATTGCACGTACAAAATTGTTTTATTACTATAAACAATTTCAAGTAAATTTATGTAATTTCTTAAAAAAAAAAGCTTTAAAAATTATTTTTTTCATCTCCTGTTGAAAGAAAAGTTACGTTTTATGCTGATTTCAAAGTTTCAACATAAGTTATCAATTTTGTGGTGTAAAAAATTAATTTAACCCTCCGAGGCCACACCTCTTTTTTTAATACGCCCCGGCTACACTGGGGTGATCACCACCCCAGACGGATTCAAAGTCTCATAATTCCAACTATGAGACGTAAAAATTTATGAAACATCTTAAAGGTGTAGTCGAAAATATATATAGTACAAAACCCGAAATGTGCTCGTGAACAAAAATATTGTAATTTTTGGTCGCGATAAGGAACATACACTAGGACTACACTGAGAGGGACCCAACTAAGGATCCTGGGTGAAGGGACACTGATTATAAAGCCTAGCTTAAAAACATCGGGCCGTGAATTTCTGTTGGGGTGGCCGCCACCCCATGTGGCCTCAAAGGGTTAAAAAATATATCCATTTTGCAAATATTACATGAAGAAAAAATACAGTTATTTTACCTACATATCAGCCTCTGTTTTAGGATCCTGTATTTCATACTCGCCATGAAATATAACTGCAAAAAATATGTATATTGAAGTTCTATTTGTTCATTAGTCAGCTTATATGTATAGTATAGCATCTGGTAAAAGAAATATCAGTGGTACACTAATTACAGTAGATTTGATCCGAGATTTTGTCAGATTGGCATCTGCATTAGTATCTGAGCTTAGCTTGTATTTTGCTATTCGAATTTGCTGATATCTGAAAGCAACAGATTGACAGCAGGAACCAAGCAGATTTTGCTGCTTCATAATCATTTGACTAGAATAAAAAGGGCCTTTTGAATGGAACAGTCTTTTATAGTACTTTTAAGTTTCTAATATTCTCTTTTGATCCTCAGTCTTTTCTTTAAAATCTCTCATTCCTTTATTGGAATATATACAGAATGAGGGTCAAGACTGAATTCAAGTCTCTTCCATTACTAATCATTCATGTTCACACAAAGCTACACATCAATCCTGATTTGTAAATGGAATTGTAATAGAATATTTGACTGAAATAATTATGAAACACCAGACTTTCAGCTTCTCTCACTAATTTGCCACAATATTCCATTATCCAGATAGCAAAGCATGTTTGAGCAAAATCGCGCAAACCTGTGATTGCTTATGATGCTGGCAACTTGCCGTGCATTACGCTAGTTAAGCATCTGTTTGAGGCGGACGTCGCGCCATCTCGCGTAATAAATCTCAACTTTTTCCGGGAGAGATGTAAGTGACGCGTAATAAATAGTTTTGACAAAACGCATTTATTTGCATATCTTAGCATAACACTTACGTTTAACAATGTCCGTAATTATTAAATGTAGATTTCAAAGCGTGAAGTTAAATTTGTTTAGAAAGAAAAGTGTTTCAAAAGGGAAAAAACTGTTTTACAGCAATCATGTTGGTCATATTAGCGAAGAAATTTTGCAGTTTAAAAGAATATTGCGAGGGACAGTTTTGAGAGAAACTCCTGGTGGATTTCGCACCAAAAATAATACTAATTTTTATAAACCTGTAATCGAGGTATAACACATAATACAGTAATATATATATATACCCAGATAGCACACATCTGCAAACATGTCCGAAACCGGGACATTAGACGTGTTTATGACGATTTTAAGACGTCTTATGTCTCAATTTTGAAACCAATTATTGGTAATAAATAATTTAATTTTTTTAACCACATGATTATCAAATTATTGCACAATACAAAATTATATATTTTATATCTATATACGTAACCACATAATTTTAACTACTATTTGTACCTTTTTAAATAAATAATTAATTGGAGAAAAATAACTATTCTTAATTACTATATATAAATTATTGTTTTACAAAAACGTACAATCACTACTTGACGCACATAAAGCTTCTACATTCTTTCGTCTAGCTTCTAAACGTTTGGCTCTATCAGAATTAACTGATGTTTTTCTTCTATAAATGAGTAGAAAAATAGTTGGACAAAATGCTTCGTTCCCGGGATTATCCGATTTTGCTCCACCAACAAAATGAGTGCTACATATTGTTGAATTTTTCGTAGGCATCCATGGCTTTCCGTCTTTACTAAAATAAGCAGTAGTAAAATTTGCTATTTTAAATAATCACAATTTTGTCATTGATACACTTAATGGATTTATATATCCTGATACAAAAATTAGTCTGAAGTAGGTCTGAACAAACTTATAAAATTGAGACATTTAAAACTTATTTCAAAACAGTTATTAGACTATAAATTATTTTGCCTAGAATACTCATGATTTTTTTAATTGATTTAATTTTATATGTTATAAGTTTTCTTTCTCTTTTTCTCTTCATTATAATAAAAAATTTTGTTAACTAAATTTTATTTACATACTCATTATTAACAGCATATATGACTGCGAAACATATATATGATCTTTTTCAAAACAATTTTTTAAAGTTTTTAAGGTTAACTTTTGTAGTTACATTTTCATTCCAATAATACCCAGAGATTATATAATTGTTTGAGAAGATATAATTAATTATATTACAAATTAATTATATTACAAAAAAATCTTTATTACAATATTGAAAGACAATTTTAAAAGACACAGTCAAACGTCGCACCACAGTTATCCATTTCTTTTTTCACTGTATTTCCCATGGACGATTTGGAAATGAGTAAAAACGAACATTTTTTGTATTCTTTCTTGTATTTTTGCACCCCACTACACAACAACAATTATTAGAATTCTTTTTCTCTGCAGAACTCATTTTCTTTTATCGTTGTTTCTCCCGGAAAAATTTCGACACGGCGCTACACGGTGGCGCTGAGAACAATGCTTAACTAGCGTTTTGTTTCAATTGATTTCGAGTAATTTAATATTTGAAGCAACACGCAGGCAACATTGGATATACGTATTGCCAGCAATTTGACCGCAAGAGAGCAGCATCAAATTTATTTTGCGTTGCTAACAATATGACAGCATTGTGTGATCTTATGAATTATTACAGCAACATGACAGATGACAGCAACAGCTCGAATTTTGAATCAGACGATTTTAGACCGCAGCATTAAGTTGCCGGCAAGTTGTATACCAAAAGTATACAAAATTGTTATATCATGAAAGCATCAACTTGCCGACAAATGCGGACTAAGTTGCCACTATTCTGACAGCAACACATACGAGGGCGAATCAGAAAATAATGGAGTTTTCGATTTGCGACTCGACCCGACTCGGGTCGCATCATGTATACAGGACTCGAGAATCATTGACGTGGAATACATACATATCTGTATGTATTCCACGTCCATTGATGCGGCCCGAGTCGGGTCGAGTAGCAAATCGAAAACGTCATAATGGGTGCGTTCAACCGATACTCCACTAGCCTAGCAATCGTGAGCAGTCGCTCGTTTCCTCTCCTTTTAATCCATTGGGTCAAAGGAGAGGAAACGAGCGAAAACGAGCGACTGCTCACGATTGCTAGGCTAGCGGAGTATCGGCTGAACGCACCCAATAAGTCGCAAACGTTAGTTTCCCTTATACCGTTTTAAATTACGAGCGCATTTTGTCAGCAGATGGCAGCATATGGTTGCGACTTATACTGGGAGCTTTCCAGCAAGCGACACAAGTCGACACAAACGTCATTCTTTCTTTTTTGGCAATGAGTAACAAAGACAAAACGACACTTGTGTCAATTTTTGTCGCTTGCTGGAAAGCTCCCACTGACTCACCCTAGTATTATGTTGTCGGCAACATGCCAACAACAATACAGACACGTTGGCTGGATTCGGGGAGCGCGCTATTAGCGCTATTTGCTTATTCTATCCTTGTTTTACATCTGATGAGCGATAAAGACAGAATGATGCAATAGCGCTAATAGCGCGCTTCTCGAATGCAGCCGTTGTTATCTGAGTTGCTATCTGGGTAGATCTTACGGCTCGTCTACAATAACCGTAAAAGTAGATATGCAATAAGACGTGAACAGTAAACTATTGACCACATACTACGTTTACGCGAGCGTTACTTCTGTAGTAACTTACGATATATCATTCGTTTACGCGGAGTAAATTATCATAAGTTACTACAAAATCCCGTTTACGCGAAGGAAAATCCTGTTTACGTGAAGAAATTATCGTAAGTTACTACAGAAATAACGCTCGCGTAAACGTAGTAACAGTCGATTATTCTTGAATTGTAAAAATCCCATTAGTCAACAGCTTATTACTGCTTACATCTTACTGCATACTGTTGCGGCTATTGTAGACGAGCCAGCGTCGTCTACAATGGCATCAAGAGTATACAGTAAGACGTAAGCAGTAAGTTATTGACTAATGGGATTTTTACAATTCAAGAATAATTGATTGTGGTTGGTCAATAGCTTACTGCTTACGTCTTACTGCATACTCTTGCTGCCATTGTAGACGACGCTTTACATTTCTGTGGCATCGCTGACAAAATTTGTAACAAATGCAGATTTCTACAAAATCTCTTTTCGACAGATTTGGCTATCGCAGTAGCAATGGCAATTAAATTAATAAATTAATATTTTCTTTTTAATTGCAGATAGAAAGTGTATACCAACCTCTAGATGTATGAATTTTGTGATTAGATAGCTTTATCAAGTGGTTCACTGGTGCACACTTTCTTTGCTTCATACAGAATAGATATAGCGGTCGTAGTACAAACGTCATTCTTAATACAATATATTTTATATAAAATATTTGGAAAAGATTGAAATACACATCAAGACACCAAGGTAGCACCAGAGAGAATCCTGAGAGCCTGAGAGCTGCTAAGAGCGGCCATCCGGATCGTTCCGTTCCAGCGGACGTATACTGACGCGCCGCCTGAGAAAGTGAACGTCAACTATGGGTGCGTTCGGTTTGGACGTTCACGCGTTGTAAGCGCTCATGCTTAAGCGCTGTTTTCAATCGTTCGATTTGGTATCTGAGCGCTTACACAATAGTAGTTCGTTTTGGCAATGTAAGCGACTATGAGCACGTCAAAATAGCAGACGATAGGTTATTGTGTGTTATATTTGCGCAAATAATAACATTATTAGAATTATTATTCGATGAGGAAGAATATTTAATTTATAAAATAAACTCTTTTTTAGAATAAAGCAAGCAACATTTAATTTTATTCTACAAATTTTAAAACCTAAAATTACTAAGATCAAAATTAGGACGTAAAACAATATCACCTAAAAAACAATTATTTATCGCTATATGAAAAATGGTCACCCCGGATTCACATCGGTATGTTATTAATATTATTATTACACATTGTTGTTTCAATTTTTATATCAAATAAAGAGAAGTGAAAGAGGCAATGCCACGCGCAATAATTAATGCGCAATTAAAATAAGTCAATAATAAAATAGATATATTAGTTAATACAAATTCGGACGTTTCGACACTTTTTGTGTCATCTTCAGCGTAAAAATGAAAATAATACATGAAAATTTCAGTCGATAAATTAAGACGATAAATTACAGTCAATCGCGATAAAATGAGTCAATCAGTAGAAAAGCGCAGTCAAATCAATAAAATAAAATTCATACGAATGTTTGGTAGTCTGTCAGGATATACCGATATGCAAATGCTCCAAATCGATCGCATCTTCGACGTTTACTCTCAGGTTGGAAGACCAGGTAGAAAAGAGAGATTTGATTGTCCTTTCTAAACCGTGAAAAGGAGTCGCAATATATTAAAAAACGCAATGTATCAGTATTAAAATTACAATCACAATTTAAATTCTTACTTAACGGAGCACTACAGACCAGTAAGTCGCAGTGTTAAAATGTACCTGTCGCTCTGACATATCGTGAGTGAGTGAAGCATTGGTAGAAATAAGAAGGTTAACATAATAAAAGCGGTGTATACATAAAGAGCAAGTGAGAATCTTGTGAAGGAAATGCTGGCCGAAGATAGAGAAAAATATCAAGATTATTTTAGAATGCCATTTCAATTATTTAATGCGTTATTAACATTGGTCGAACCAGTCATCATATATATAATTTTTAATTTAATTAACGATAATTGACGATAATAATAACATTGGAGAATAATAAGTAGTACACTGTAAGTATAGATGTAAGTTAGTAAAACGTAGATAATATATACTTGTAAACACTGGATAAACTCATTCGTAAAGGCTTGTGTGGGTATATGTCATAATAAAAATATATTTTGCTTGAAAATAAATTGTATTTGTTTGAAACTAAATGTACCTAGTACAATAATAGTCATACTTAATATTAATGTAATAAAAAATAAAATTGTAATAATAAAAATAAAAATAAATAGATATAATAATAATATAATGTAGTAAAAAAAACTTCTTTTATATCAAATAACAGATTAAGTTAAGAACATAAAATGTGATTTATTTATAGTTATATTAGTTAATTAATTTATCTTGCTCTTCCATAAGCATAGCAAGGAATTTTATTTTTAATTCGGCTCGCTTTCTTTAAGGCCATTACACGTAACAAGTTTTAATCGTAAGGCCGTAAGAAAATAGACCAATCACAGTCGATTATTCTCCTCGCGCTCAAAGAATAATCGACTGTGATTGGTCTATTTTCTTACGGCCTTAAGGTTGTATGACCCCTTAGAAGAAAAAATGCCAAATTCTTCAAACTTTGTCAGGTGATGAGTATTATAATAATAAAGCATTGTGCCAAGTTTGAACAAGTTTGCGAGGCCCGTTCAAAAGTTATAACAATTTGAATTTAACATGGGCTCTTATGGGAATTCATCAAGTTTCACTGTTTTTTCAACTTCATTTGAGAAATTAATATCGAAGAAAATATGGCATCCTTTTAAAACTTTGCAGAAATATTAATAAACATCTTACAAACAAAGTAGAACCAAAAAAATTATGACTTCGAGGATATTTTCTGAAATATTGAATAAAAACCAAACAGAGAACAGTCTCGCTTGGTCTCACTAAACTCGTAAGTACAGAGATCCGGCAACAGCGCACTATGACGTCACATTAGAACCTCTCTCTCCGTCACTCTCCGTAAAGGATAACAAATACTACAGAGGTCCGTTACTTTTTCCAATAGAGCCTCCTGTGTATCGAAAGTGTGCTTTGAGCACATGTAATATGCAGACGCATCGTTTGAGGTTAGTTTTCGCTTGCGCTACGAAAATGCCGAAAGTTGTCACTGAAAAAGTGTACAATCAACGGTTAGCACAGACAAATACTGGGAAACGTAATTTGAAGACACGAGTCGAAACCACACCAGATGATTGTAACAATTCCATGGCAGATGTAACGTTTTACTTTTGGCATTTTCGTAGCGCAAGCGAAAACTAACCTCAAACGTTGCGTCTGTATATTACACGTGCTCAGAGCACACACTACCTCTATGAAGTTGGCCGGACAACTTCAACGTATCGAACTTTCATTAATTGGAATCGATTGGTGGTCGTTTGGTGGTCTTTGGTAGTCTAGTCCGATCGTTTGGTGGTTAGTCGTTTTCCTGTAAAATAAAAATGAAATTTCCGCGAACCAATTTAACTTTTTTATAGCTCATTCGACGCGGAATCGTTTGGTGGTCACGAATATCACCGGTAAAACGTTTGGTGGTCAACCGTTTTCCCAGAAAATAGAAAAAACCGTATGCGCATAATGCCGTATTCGGAACAATTGTATTTATCACCCAAATTGACTTTGATAGGGCTCAATCGACGCGGAATCGTTTGGTGGTCATGAATATCGTCATTAAAACGTTTGGTGGTCAACCGTTTTCCTAAGAAATAGAAAAAACCGTACTCTCA